CAAAAATATCTTGAAATAATAAAGAGTAAAATTATTCAATAAAAACCGCCATTGGCTTCAACCACGGCCTCCAGGCAACTTTGGAATCTCCTACAACTCTTCTAGACAATCTCCTTGTTTAAGTTGGTGAATGCTCTCATAATCCTTGCCTTCAGTTCATCATTGGAGTTACAAGGGATTTTGTTGATCTCAACTGCAGTCTGAGAAGTTAGGTGGCTGGATGTAAGGGATGATGTGGTTGCAGAAATTGTTTGACAGCCATGACTGGGTTCTCCTCTTTGTGTGGCATGGTGCAGAGTCCAGTTGCCAGACATAGGGTCTTCCAGCAACCACCTTCTTGACCCAGGACAGCACTACCCCCTCAAGGCATTTGATGTAGGCCTCCGTGTTGAGTTTTAGGCCTTCACCAACAAATTCGGGATTTCTTTTCTTATCATAACAATCAGAGTGAGGTTTCCGAGCTGCCGTACCTTTGTAATCACCATTCGACTCATTCAACTCTTTCCAAATACTTTGCATTGTCCTCAGATTGACAGCCAAACACTATGAAATGTTCATATTCGAGCTTTTGGTGTGAATTTTAAGCAATACAGCATGCTATTTCAAAATTTCTGGCGCAGTGAATTGCATCAATGTGTTTTATTTTTCTCACAAACGGTGCACAACTGACCCTAATCTACTGTGCAGTCAACAAAATCAAAAACAAACAAAGCGCATGCGCGAAATTAAAAATATAAAATAGTGACAATTTGTCCATTGAAAATGTTAGTGCGTCACTGCTTCACACTTTTTTAACTTTACTCCTTGAGGACATAGCCCAAAATATGTCACTTTGGAATCAGGCCAACTCCGTGAGCAAATTAAAAACATTCCGTGTCGGATCCGGGCCCACAATCCAGAAATTTTGAATTCCCAAGTTTTCATCATTGTTTTCGTATTCCATCATCTTGGCTTCTCCTGATAAAAACAATTAAAGGGGCACAACTCTCTAACTTTCAATAGCTCATGCTCAAATTAAAAAAATACTGTTCTCAAATTACAGCGGTTCAAAATAAAATTGTCCGTTTTTTCAACTTTACTCCAAGAGGCCATAGCCCAACATATCATACCATTTTGGAATCAGACCGACTCTTTGAGCAAATTACAAATATTCCAGACCGGAACTGGACCCGCAATTCAGAAATTTTGGATTCCCAAGTTTTCATGACTGCGATTGTTTTCGGTGATTTTTACGGGATTTTTTGCGACCAATTTTTTGTCTGATAACGATTGTTATAAGTTGGAAATGAATTTGGGAATAATCGAAATTAATTGCGAAATCCAATGAAAGTCACCTACGAAATAAAAATAATTGTACATAAACTAAGGACCTACGTACATGAAATTGTCTTCAAATTAAGTGGCCTCAAAAGAATTATCATTAAACCTTTAAAAGGTAAGCTTAAACATTAATTCAATACTTAAATGCAGCGATCAATTTTTAGTTCATCTGTGGTTTATTGATGCCTATCGCATCTACTCCTCCCTAGCTATTGCGATGATAGCCAAACGAAGAGTCTATCACAGGAGCTAACTTAAATATATATAAATTGTCCCCTGTTCTATCACCCATTAAATAAAAATGATTGTTTGTACAGAAAATAAGGATCTACGTACATCAAATCGTCTTTAAATTAAGTGGCAGCAGAAGAATTATCATTAAACTTTTAAAAGTTAAGCTTAAACATTAATTCAATACTTAAATGCAGTGATCAATTTTGAGTTCTTCTGTAGTATATTGATGCCTATTGCATCTACTCCTCACTAGCTATTGTGATGAAGGCCTAATCAAGAGTTCTCCACAGGAGCTAGCTTAAATGCCGCTTAGTTTAGTAATAAAATATAAATGTTACAAATTGTGCAAAAGTGATATCTGAAGCTGGTTGAAATTAACCCATTACACATGTAGAATATCTGAAATAGTGGTCAAGTACAAGTCCTCACTGTGCGATCAGCCAGTTGAAATTGATCTTGGAATTGATGCGACAACAATACGATGTTAGTTCATAATTAATATTTCATTTTCAACAAACTAATATTTAATTATTTATACGAAAATTAATACTTAATTTACACTGCTCTTGAAAAGGACCTCCAATCAGTGGTTAACTGGGGCAGGAAATGACTTGTAAATTTGAATGTCTCCAAAACGGAACTGCTCTTATTTAACCACCATAGAGAAACTTCCCTGTCCATATGGCTGATACTCGACTCCTAGAGAACGTCTTATTGCGAATTCTTGGCCTCACGTTTCCAACTAACTTGAAGTGGAATAATTATATTTAATCAATAGCTGCACCTACTGCAAGGAAAGTGAGTTCACTGTATCGTACCAGAAGGTTTTACTCGTCAGAGTCTATCTTGCACATTTACAAATCTACTATTCGGCCGTGCATTGAATACTATTGCCACATCCAGTCTTATGCTCCTGCTATTCATCTCGAGGTTCTTGACAAAATCCAAAGAAGGATCTGGCACTTCAGTCACTTTTTCACAAACATGATGTGGCATCCCTCTGTTTTTTCTACAAATATTTTCATGGCAACTGCTCTAATGAGATTTTTCCCTGGTACCCAGACTACATGAATTTAAGCGTGATACTAGATTGCCATTTAGGTCCCACCATTTACCGTTGAAATACTTAAATGCAACCACTCCTTCTACTCTAACAGTTTCTTTTCTCGCTCTACCTGACAATGGAACTCCCTTCCGTTTACGTGCTTCCCTGATAAGTACGATCTTCAAAAATTTAAAAGCAACGTCTGTCATCTTGAACCCCGTTCATCTTTTATCCTTTCCTCAACCCCATACACCCAGTCATTTCTCTCACTTTCACTCGCTGTACCCTCACGCTGCACACTAGTGACATTCCTGCCTTGCTTGGGGGTGAAATGATTATTAAAAAGTTCTTACTTAACGACCAGTCAGTTGGAATTAACCTTGGTCGTTAGGCGAGGAACGAATGTATATATGACAAACATACGATGTTAGTTGATAATTAATACTTAATTTTCTATAAATTATTACGAAAGTTAATACTTAATTTTAAAGTTCTCACTTAACGACCAGATAACTGGACTTTACGTTGGTCGTTAAGCGAGGAACTGATGTATATGCGAAAAACATAAAATAATTTTCAATAAATTCATACTTAATTATTTTTATGAAAGTTAATACTTAATTTTTATGAATTTGGGATCTTTCTAACTGATCCTTAGATCATTCTTCTAAAATCTAAGTTTTTCTAGTGTCCCGGGTAAAATTTCTGATTCGGACAATATCGTCTATGATTTTGCACAAGTCATCATCATTCTAAGAATTGTTAATACTAATGACGTATTACTAATTATATTTTGCGTATTTGTCCCCTGTTCAGATTTGCCAATTGCCTAAAATGAAAATGCGGAGCAGAGAGCTGGAGTTTCCCCACCAGGAGTGCACGGATTCTGTGCATATGTTCCAATCATGGTTCCAAAAACCCATAAAAGAGAACCAAATCTGTTTCGGAATTTTTGATTGATAAGAATCCATATATAGCAGATTATCATACAATAATTTTATACAGTCAGTGGTGCAAAATAACTTTATACGGTCAGTGGTGCAAAATAATTTTGTGCGGTCTGTGGTGCAAAATAATTTTATACGGTCAGTGATGCAAAATAAATTTATCCGGTCAGTGGTGTGAAATAATTGTATACAGTCAATGGTGTCGATATCTTTTGTCGTCTTGAACTCTGTTCGTTTTTTGTCCTTTCCGCAATCCTCCCTATTCTCAGTTTTCTCTTTCTCTTTCACTTTCACTCCCTGTAACCCCCTGCGTACTAGTGGCATTACCACCTTGCTTGTGGGGTAGGAATGATTAAATTTTTTTTTAAATGCTTACACTCTCATATATTGTTGACTGCTCGCAATCCTACCTGCGTTGCACCACTTTAACCAAACCTTGCAAGTCATGGTTGCATAATCGAGTTTTATTGGTTTATTTATAAATACATTTAGTTAATTTAGATAAGATAGCAAATGAAGGAAGCAGACAACCATGTACTGGCGGATTTTGTTCTGAAAAAAAAAACAATACCAAAGAGATGAGCTTAAGGTAAGCCTCTGTTTACGGCAAATAGTTTTGTGAGGAGCTTTTTATTCAATTCAATATGACGGTTGCTTAACAATCAATCTATGAGAAATATTTCTCTAGAAACAATTTCCCATATCTTCTTTGATGTTATTACTCTTTACAGAACCAATTCACTCACCCTCATTGTACTTCTGAACAATACTGAATCCAGCGGCCATATTGGCACAAGGTCGCATGCGTGTGCTGAAACCTCTGGATCTTAATTGAAAGATCGAAAAGAATCTACGGCAGACAGAAAAGAAACGGAAAAAGAAACACTGTTTGAACATCGGGGTAACTGTGTTAAAAAAAAAAAACGGGGAAGGAGGACAAAACAAGTTTCAGATTGTTTCTTTGTCAAGAAGTCAGGAACCGACTATATTTGTAAAATAGAATAAGGCTGTAATCAAGATGCCGTGTCCCTTCACGACGTTGACGATCATAGCTCTCCACAATTTCCTGTCCTTTGTAGCTCTTAATAAATATCATTCTGTTATCTCTTCCAAAATCTGTTCCGCTCAAATTCGCCAGGTAGGTTGTGCATGGCTCCTCCTACCATTTTGCATTCACTCTGTCCTGTGAGTATAAAATTTTCCAAGCCCTCTTTTTTCATTATATACCCCATGAATTTCAACTGTCTCTCCCTGGTGTTAAGCGTAAGTGTCCTTTTTGTTCCCATCGTCTCTAGAACTTCGTCGTTGCTCACATGTTGGATCCATGGTATTCTCATCATCTTTCTGTAGAACCACATTTGTGTTGCTTAAAGACTCTTAATCTGTGAGTAGATTGTCCAGCATTCATTGCCATATGAGGGTGGACTGATACTATATAACAAGCACATACAAGTTTACAGCACCTGGTATTAACAAGTGGTCAACCATCTAGGTACTGACCAGGACCGACGTTGCTTAACTTCAGTGATTGTATGGGAGTTGGTGTTTCAACGTGATAATTATCCAATCGACCACCTACATATCGCTTTTCAAATCATAGTATCTGCGAATAATACCAAATCCAGCGGCCATTTTATTTTTATTTTTTTTATTTTTTAATCTAGAATATCTTAATTATATTCTTACTTAAATCTAATCGTTTAATTTTTCATTTTTAAGTATAATTTGTTATTTTTTAAGTAGGAACCTAAATTTTTTTATATGTAATTAAAATTTTGCTTTTTTTTTTTTAGTTTCAAATTAACACTCCATTCTTCATATAACCCCAATTTAATGTCATAAGGTCAATATCCGGGTTAATTTTATAAAACCTCTTCTCTTTAACCCCCCCACTTACCACCGACTCGGCCATTTTGTCTCACTGAAACATCGAAATGGATAAATTCTGTATCAATTTTTCGACTGCTGTCAAATTTAAATTTTGAATTTCTAATTCCGACACGAACACATTCTATACATCGGGGTTGAATAAGACTAATGTAGTTCTCGTTAGTTGAAATAGATCTAGCCCCCCACCATATGAGACAATTTTGGATTTTGGGGGGTAATATATATATATATATATATATATATATATATATATATATATATATATAGAAATAAGAGATAGAAATTTTTAAGGGGATATGAATAATCAAATTAAAGTAATTAATCGAGACTAGAATAATCCTCACCAGAATGGAGAAAGCACTGGACGACCGTTTCGTCCTATTTTGGGACTCATCAGTGGTCCGCATCCACTAGTGAGAATCGAATCCGGACCGCAAGTGCCATATCCACTAGACCAACAGGCCTCGGTGACGAAGTGGTAACTAGTTAGAGTGGTGTAAATGAGCCAAGTATACATAACTTAATGGATTGTGCACCCAAGAGCCACGTCATCTTACCCCAAGCCGCTCCTCCAGACCATTCGAAGCCAGTTCAAGCAAAAGACATACAAGCGATAGAATATATATATATATATATATATATATATATATATATATATATATATATATATATATAAAGGGTGTTTCATTAAGAGGATTATATATAAGGGTGTTTCATTAAGATGGATCAAAGTCAGCAATAAATAAATCAGTGCTATTGGTGAAAATTTCTTTATTTCTTTATTGGATCAAGTTATTTAAGTCATGGCAATTACGTGTTAAAAATAATATCGCCCAAATATCCGCCAAATCTGAAATAAAAAGAAAAAAAATCATTAGACGCTTAAACTTAATTCACATTTAAAATGGTTATTGAAACACCCTTTATATATACGGGGTAAAAATATATGTGCGCAAGTTTTAAGGTTTATGAAAAATTGACCAATCAGGTAATGACACGTTAACATTAAATGTATATACGCTGAGTTTCATTTTGAAAAATCATTCTCTGGCAAATATGTCAACACTTAGTTTAGACTGTCGACTAGAGTTTGTAAAGCTATATGATGCTAATAATGAGAGTGCAGCTGTAACGACAAGAGCTTATAAAACAAGGAACAATTTAAAACAGGATCCTTTCGTTCTATCAGCAATTACTCGTCTGATAGAAAATTTTGAAACCACAAAGACACTGCATGATATTCCTTCAAGTGAGAGACATTCATTAGAAGCTGATTGCACAGATCAAGTTATGAATAGTCTGTGGATAATTTGATCAAATATGCAACCTTGGTTATACAAAAAAATGGAGGAATAATTGAAATTGTAATTTCATAAACCCTATTTCATACCCATTTGTGTTTTGTTTATTTTTTTAAGCATTTCTCCCCAAGCAAGGCAAGAGAGCCACTAGCATGCAAGGGTTACAGAGAGTGGGAGCAAGAGTAAAGAGGCGTGATAGAGGAAAGGATGAAGAGAAGGACAGGGAATAGATCAAGGCATCTGGAAATGTCAATTGATATTGCATTTGAATATTTGGAGATTATAGTTATCAGGGAAGCAAGTAAATGGAAGGGAGTTCCACAGACAGGAAGTAGGAGACATGAAGCTATTGGAGTAGAAGATACGGTTACATTTAAGGGTGGGACTTAGATACCAACCTAATAGCACGTTCAAATTCATGTTTCAAAATGTATGTTGTTGTTTTCGCAATTGCTTACTTATAATGCTTTTAAAACTTGTGGTCATTTATTTTCGCCCTGTATAGAGCTGAATGCTAAAGTAGGCAAGGAGATGGAAGTGGAAATAGCTGGCAAATTCGGACTCGGAACGAACATGGAGAAAAATGAGTCCATTCGTGCACGGCCAATGACCAGGTAACAGCCAACACGCGATTCCAAGAACATCCAAAACGATAATTGACGTGGAGAAGCCTGGGAGGAGAAACTAAAAACCAAATCGACTATATAACTACCAACAAGAGATTTCGGAATGCAGAATCTATCCAAGTGCGAACTGCAGAAGGGACCACCTCCCTGTTATATGCAAACTAAGAAGGAAACTTAGGAAAGCGAAGAAGCATAATGCATCATCCATATTGCAATACAACAGATTCTTGAACGACCCGAACCTGAAGGAAAAAATATATGGACAGTGTGAAAAGAAGATACGAGGGACAAAATGGAAATGGAAACACGAAATGGGACGAACTAAGAGAAGCTTTAGCGACCCTCTGTCTTTTTTTACAAATACTTTCACGGTAAGTGCTCTGATGAGCTGCTTTCGCTGGTTCCCAGACTTCATGAATTTAAGCGTTCAACTAGGCTGGCATCTCGTTCTCACTCTTTCACTGTCGAAACTCTTAAATGTAGCCGTCTCTTCTACTCCAATAACATCATATCTCGCACTTCTCGCCTGTGGAACTCCTTCCCCTTTTCCTGTCTCCTTGATAGCTATAATCTCCAACTATTCAAATGTAATGTCAATCAACGTCTCCAGATGCCTTGATCTATCCCCTATCCTTCTCTTCATCCTTTCCTCTATCACTCCTATTTGCTCTAGCTCCACGAAAGGGGTTACAAGAGCTGTAACCTCCTGCATCCTAGTGGCTTCCCGCCTTGATTGGGGTGAAATGCTTAAAAAAATAAAATAAAATAAAATAAAATATTTAAAGAACCTAAGTGTAAATAATACTAAGAATAATACAAGATGTTTTATGTTCTTTGTGGACTATCATTTAAAAATCATTTTTACACGTAGACTTTTGTTCCCCTATCATTGCTGTTGCTATCATAACTTTTCAACCGTTGTATCCCCACCTACGACTTTCATCAGGTAAGTGTTGATTCGGGTAACCTTCCCAATTGAACCCTTTATTTACTCCCCGGGTAAATTGGCCTTGCTCCGCTATGTCCAGGAATATCTCTTCTTTTAGGTTGGTGCAAAAATAATGACGTAATGATGTCGTTTTTGACGTTAAAAATACGTCAAAAAAAAACGACATTATTACGTCATTATTTTTGCACCAACCTAATAGTTCTTATTTTTAGTACCGCTCATTTATAGCCCGCCCTGTTACCACTACTTCCAAGAACAATGAATTCATTTGTTTGTTTAATGACATATCAATACTTTCATGGGTCATTTAATGCCGAAATTTTCTTGGAAACGTTGAAGTAATAAAAAATACATGTTATTCTGCTTTCACAATTGAATACATGGTAGATGATACACTATTTACATTATTCGCACTTTTGTCCTCATCTTTGTCGCCATATTCATCACAACGTTTCGGCCGTTGTACGCTCCGGTCTTCTTCAGGCGGTTGGAATGTCGAACTGAAGCCTTTATTTCACTCGCGGGGGTAGACTGTTCTAGTTCCACGTGCCATGTCTAATGAATGTCAGTTATCAGTTATCTTCTGTTAATTCCCCTCTCTAAGTTCTCCACCGCCTTAACCAGGTATTGAACTCAGAATTCTTTGAGTCCTGTCACTGCATCTAAAAAGCCTTAAGGACACATGGCACAGTGGATAAAGGCTTTGGTTAGATCCAGTGACATGACCCAAAGAGTAGTGAGTTCAAGACCTGGTTAATGGGGAACTTCTCTTCCGACTTGTTGCCTCCCAGTCAACTTTGATCTTGAGAATTTAAATGCAATGTCAATCGTCATTTTTTTATTGCTCTGTCTCCTCAATAATCCGCACCTCTCGTCTGTGGAACTGCCTTCCGCCTTTTTCTTTTCCACTTTGATCTTCAAAAGTTTAAATGTAATATCAATCATTATCTTTTCTCTTCTTAATTCCTGTTTTTTTTTTATTTGTTCCTGTCTCCTTAGTATTTTTTTCTTTTTCTCATATACTTCCAGACTCAGTCTTAGTGGCTTTATTGCCTTAAAAATATCAAAGTTATTGTTTCTCTGTCTCGTTATACATTTTCCTCATGTATCTTTGTGCTTCGTTGATGAATATTTTTGCTAAAATCTTTTTTCTAATTGATTTATAGAAGTGTGTTTTCTCTACTTTCAGATCAATAAGAAATAATCGATTCCTGCTATTAGATACAGGTGCTAATTAGCTAATTATTGGATATCACTAACAAGCAGCTTCCTAAAGATTTTCTCAATAATTGTAGGTTACTAACAATTTGCAGCTAACATATTCACCCCCTGAGACACAAACTGCATGGTGACTAAGGCTTTAATTTAATGGCTATGTAACCCAGTGTTTAAAATATTAGCATTAGAATTTCATCGTGCTCGGTTTGTTAAGGAGGTGACATATTTATAATATTTTCGGGAGAAATGATCCCGAAGTAGGCACGATGGAGTAATGGATAGCGGCTCGGATTGAGAAATCGAAGAGCCGAGTTCGAATTCCAGTCGAATCCATTCACTTACGTGCTAATACGTGATTCATACCTTGGGAAAGGTATGAATCCTCTTCTTCTCCCTCTAGCTATGGGTAAGTTAAATAGCAGGACAGATGGATGGCAGCTGGTCTACCGCAGAAAGAAATGGCAACCTACTGCGTGAAAAAAAATCTGCCTCGTCAGTCATGTATCGAAAGATACATGATCGCGTAATTGACTGACTGACGGTGGAGTAATGGATAGGGGCTTGGAATG